AAAAATCAAAATCAATAAACTTTCCTTCAAACTGGAAAAGGGTAATAATAAATTAAAGATGGCGAAAAATAAAATTAAAGACTCAAATCAGCATTAAAAACGAATTAAAATAACCAAAAATGTAAATTCTAAATAACTGAATAATAAGGAGTAAAAGTGATAGTTTATGTGGCCAACGTAGTGAGGCAAATAATTCAGCTAAGCCACATAAACTCAAGTTTACTTCAAATAACATATACTGTTTTATCCGCCAACGTATTCAGATCGAGTGTGAAGAACAATATTAATATAATATAATTAGCAAGTAAATGAACAAAATAATCAAAACGGTTTGCAGTTGTAATAAGTAGAAAATTTTTCGTTTAATTCCTTTTGGAAAACTCCAAAGTGGAATTTTGGTGACCTGTTTTCCGCTCAATTGATTTCAAATAGTTTTCAAACTCGACAAAATTTTCCGACTTGAATTTATTTTACAAAGAAAAACCAATTTTTATCGTAGGAGCATCAAAATATGGCTTTCCCAGGTTTTCATCTGTTTTACATTTTTATTGTTTTTGCAATTTGCTACACTAAAACGAATTTTAAAATATACTAAGCGACATTAAAATTGGAACACATTAAGCATCATTAATGACAATTAGAAGAAAAAAATAAACAAAATCCGAATCTGACGTTTCAAGTAAAAAGTAATTACAATTAAATTTGAATTTAATTAATTATTGCTATTGAATCAGTCTTTCATGAAAAACATGAAATTAAAAGACTTGACAGAACTAGAAAGTAGCTGCTCTTTAAAAACAAGAAGCAAAACCTTGATTTACTAAATTCCCTTAAATTATTAAAACACTCATTTGGATGAAATTTATTGCTCTACCCCGTATACAGAGTATGTCAGAATTTGCACCCCAGAAAAAATTTCAAGTAAAATAAGAATACTAGAATTTTTTTAACATTTTTTTCATGTTCGTGGAATCCTGTCTTACTGGGGCGCGAGTTCTAGCGCACCCTGTATGTATCAAAACACCGAGAATAAAACTTAGAGTTTATCGAAATTTAATTAAATGCAGATTCAGTTTGTAACTCGATTTTCTTGTTTACGATTGTGAATTTTTGGCAAGATTTTGCTTATCTCTTGAGTACTGATGGGCTTCCTCTTCCCGTTTCCGACCTTGAACACACTGATAAAAATAAATCAATAACGAAATTAGGGCCGTAATTATACGCTAGTTGTAAAGCTTCTCTCGAGACTAAATCGATGTCGGATTTAAACCATCTTCAAACTTTAGATGATAAATCACGGCGTAATTGTTACCAGCGACGTATTAAGTTGCTAATTATTCTAGAGGGTTACCTTTGCAGATCAGGGAAAAATAAAAAACAAATAAGAAAAAAACCGGATTATCTTCAAAAAGGGAAAGTTGAGGTTTTTAGGTCAAGATGAAGTTGGAGTTAAGTGGAAGTAATATCGAAACGTCCAAAGATTTATATTCAGAAATGTCAATCATAGAGGGCAATCTTGGAGAGTTATTAGGGATTTGGGGGTTTTTGACTGAAATATTACTCGATATCTGAGGAAAAAAAGGAAAAAAAAAGCTAAACACACAACTTTTTACTACTTTCATCAATTTTTATCTGTGTTATCGGACAAAATTGCGGAATTAGGCTCCTTGAAGCCTAGAAATAGAACAAAAATGAGGGTTTTTTCATGATTCTTTTTCTTTAACTTATAAACAAGTTTACTATCAAAAAGACTAAAAAACTTATAAAACGTGACAAAACTGAATTTTTTTTTGTTTTTTTAGGACTAATAATACTCATAATAGGTACTTGAAACTGGTTGTTTTTAAATTCGTTGAAAGCATTCTTTTTCTCAAAGTTTCATTGAAAAATAGATTAGGGACTTAAATGTAATTTTTGTAAGAGTTATAAGTGACCTCTTTTATTATTGAACTAAAAGTTTTACTCTTTAGACATGGAGTGAAAATTCAATTTTTGAGCCTAAGCGTTTTTACTTTTACTAGGAGATTATTGACATTTGTCGATGTTATTTCTTTCTTTTGTTTTTTTTGCGGTTGAGCATTTTTGTAAAGAGATATTGTACATCATCAGCACTCGATATTTTGTCTACCAACTGCACTAGTTAAATTAATAACAATTTAGAAAATTTTAACACAAATTTCGATACTGACACCTGATGTACATTTAAAAGCGTTGTTATGTTTTTTTTACACCTGCAAACCGTTTTGATTATTTTGTTCATTAACTTGCTAATTATATTATATTAATAAAATAGTATATGTTATTTGAAGTAAAATTAAGTTTATGTGGCTCAGCTGAATTATTTGCCTCACTACGTTGGCCACATAAACTATTACTTTTACTCCTTATTATTCAGTTATTTAGAATTTACATTTTTGGTTATTTTAATTCGTTTTTAATGCTGATTTGAGTCTTTAATTTTATTTTTTGCCATCTTTAATTTATTATTACTCTTTTTCAGTTTGAGAGAAGGTTTATTAGTTTTGATTTTTTTTTAAATTTTAATACAATTAAACCAAAATTATGAAATGTATATTTCATATTAATAAATTGGTAGCTAACTACACTTCGAAAAAAAATGTTATCTATCAATTCATATATCCTTAAAACTTACAAGAAACAAAAATTATTTTATTGCTAGCTTTTTACATTAACTAATTAAAAATGCACAACAAATCAATTTGAAAAAAGTATAATTGAAAAAAAAAAAATTAAAACGAAAAAAAAATACTTGTTAATGTATCAAGGCACTAAACTTTTATTTTTCATTACGAATGTGTGTTTAGTTGTGTAAAACACATGAATAATGAAATATAACTTTAGTGCCGAGGTGCATATTATATTTCTTCCAAAATAGCAAATTGGGACAAGATTTGTTCAAAACATTTTTTTTTCTTTCTCATGTTTATCTACAGTGTTTAACAACACTATTATTTTTGTTTGCAATCAACAATAATCAAAATTCTAGCGTAACAAACTATTTTAATGCCGATTTTAGACTTTTAACTGAAGATTTTATGTAACTTTAGTGACGATTTTGAAAAAAATTATTTGTTGGGAAATTTAGAATAATTTATAAATAGTTAAGTTGAAGTAGTAATAAATTTTTGACAGAAAAGACCTAAACTCCTTATAAACGAAATTTATAAATTACGGATAATATAAATTTTGAATGGAAATAGTAAAATTTATTTACAGTTTGTAAAAAAATAAGTGCTTTAAGTTAAAAATAAACAACGTATTTAATTAGCTATTTTGACGCATTTTATCAGAAATCTAAAAAATTAAAATTTAAAAATTGAACCAAATGCTCCATTTGGAAGAATCATCTACGAATTTCTACCATTTTAGGTGTTTTAAGAGATGCGTATAAAAATTGATTCACCTTGTATATTTTCTAAGTATTTGCAAATTTTTAAAATTGTTGCAAATATTTAGCACTTTAAATAATTGTTTTTTAATTTAGTTTTTTAAATAATTGTTTTTTAATTTAGTTTTTTGTTTTTTTTATCTCCTTTAAATCTGTTTATTATTCTCCGATAGAAAAATAAACAAAATAAATATATTTAAACTGCATTTTTTTTGCTTAAAAAGTTGAACGTGACTGTCTCTTGTTGCATGCAATAAAATAACTCAATTTTTCGTTTTTTGTTNGTTTATTATTCTGCGATAGAAAAATAAACAAAATATATTTAAACTGCATTTTTTTTGCTTAAAAAGTTGAACGTGACTGTCTCTTGTTGCATGCAATAAAATAACTCAATTTTTCGTTTTTTGTTTTAAATTGCTGTAAAATTGCCTCATCCGCCGATTTACACTCAAACTCGTCAAATAAATAATTATTACAGTTTGTGAAAAAATAAGTGCTTTAAGTTAAAAATGGTACAATAAAAATAAACAACATATTTAATTAGCTATTTTGACGTATTTTATCAGAAATCTAAAAAATTAAAATTTAAAAATTGAACCAAATGCCCCATTTGCAAGAATCATCTACGAATTTCTACAATTTTAGGTGTTTTAAGAGATGCGTATAAAAATTGATTCACCTTGTATATTTTATAAGTATTTGCAAATTTTTAAAATTGTTGCAAATATGTAGTACTTTAAATAATCGTTTTTTAATTTAATTTTTCGTTTTTTTATTTACTTCAAATCTGTATTATTCTGCGATAGAAAAATAAACAAAATATATTTAAATTGCATTTTTTTTTGCTTAAAAAGTTGAACGTGACTGTCTCTTGTTGCATGCAATAAAATAACCAAAAATTTTCGTTTTTTGCTTTCAATCGCTGTAAAATTGTTTCATTCGCCGATTTACACTCAAACTCGTCGAATAAATAACTATTACAATTTGTAAAAAAAGTGCTTTAAGTTAAAAATGGTAACTAAAAATGAACAACATATTTAATTAGCAATTTTGACTCATTTTATCAAAAATCTAAAAAATAAAAATCTAAAAATTGGACCAAATGACCCATTTGCAAGAGTCATCTACGAATTTCTACAATTTTAGGTGTTTTAGGAGATGCGTATAAAAATTGATTCACCTTGTATATTTTATAACTATTTGTAAATTTTTAAAATTGTGCAAATATGTAGTACTTTAAATAATTGTTTATCAATTTAGTTTTTTGTTTTTTTATTTACTTCAAATCTGCGATAGAAAAATAAAAAAAATATATTTAAATTGCATTTTTTTTTTGCTTAATTTTTTTTTTGTTGCATGTAATAAAATAACCCAATTTTTCGTTTTTTGCTTTAAATTGCTGTAAAAATGCCTCATCCTTTTGCTAGAGTCTTGCAGATTACAACCTTAACTTTAATAAAGAAAGCTTGTCGAGTCTTTGATCCCGACGCATCCACCACAATTCGTTTTCCTCCTAAAACTTTACACCAGTTAAGTTAATTTTTTCGGGGTAAACATCCACCTGACTATGGGAGGTTTTTAGTGCGCGAGCCTTTATCCTGGCCGTTATAGTCAGTCCTTTAGTGACTCGCGGCGAGTGTCTGACGTCCGTCTCCACCACGTGCTCGCGAAGTGATAAAAATATTCAAAAAATGGTGTAAACACTTCAGGGTATTGCAATTTTGTTGCTTGAGGGAAGGAAAAAGGTCACAATTTATTTCAAACAAATACAAAACTGCTCCCTTTTATGAAATTCTCAATTGTTTAAATTTGCAAAAGGGCACGTCACGACCCAACTCAAGTTGTGAATTTTTAATAAAGCGTAAATTAGGTTACGCCGAGAATTAATTACTTTTTCCAAGAAATTTTTTTATTTTTTTATTTTTTTGCGAGCTTGGAGGGGAGAAAGGAACATTTACATAGCCACTCACGTAGTAATAGCCACTTTTGAACTTAATTAATCCCTGGAGAGGACTGAAGAACAAAATTCGGTCACCCAATTGGATTCTTTTGTGACAGTTGTGTTTTGTTTTATCGAATGCAATGAAAATACTTGCATTTTGTTATTGCAACAAAGCAATATATTTTCTTCCTTTTAACATAATTAAAAATTAATTAAAATAAAGTGTGTTTTTTATAATTAATTAAACAATAAGTAAGTTACATTACAAAAAAATATATACAGGGTGAGTCAAGTTTTATGCGCACACCTCATTTTGATGAAAAACGATTTCAGACTAAAATTTCATTGCCGTTTTAAATTTTCTTACAACTTTAAAGAGCGTGGTTAAAACTTAATTTACGTAGTACGAATACATATACAGAGTGTGTCAGAATTCGGTATTTACGCTTGCTACAATGTTATTTTGAAGAGTCAGTGTTGCCAATCGTAGCACTATTTTGTTCAACAAAATTTTCCATAAACTAATATACTCATTTAAATGTTTGTCACAAACAGTCCAATGTTTTTGGGACATTCTGTATAAAACACAAAAATAGTTAGTTTTATATTATTATTTTTTTGTTATTTTTATTTAATTTAGTAGTCTGAAAAATTGTTTACTTTTCCAATACATAATGTTTCAATAAAAAGCAATTTTTTTCTTCTTTACCAAATTTTAAAAACTACATAAATTAGATGAGTTTTTGAAACATTTTTTAGTGATTTAATATTCTAATTCTAATTTTTTTCCAACACTAATATCTTATACTGTTTCTATGATGCATTTGAGTTTTCCTCTTATGTTGTCGTTAATTTACGTTCTTCTATAAAATACGTCGTCAATCACAACATTTTTAATAAGTACATAACATTCACTTACCTTAGTATTTTGTCAATTTTGACAATTATTTTGACAAATTTTGGATTCAATATTAGTGTTGAAAAAGATTTTGAAAACAACACAAGTTTTATATAGTTTAAAAACTCTTGTCCTTATAGCTGTAAAGTTTTACTAGTTAACAATTATTATTTTTTCCCTTCCTGTATAATAAGAAATGTACATATTTTCATAAACAATGATTTGTAATGTATTACTTTTTACTAATTATTTTTTAAGTATTTTTGGACTATAACTTATATAAG